ACAATGCGTGTGTATATATTTATGATTGTTGTGTCTTCTTGGTGGATGAATCCTTTTGTTATTATGTAGTGGCCCTCATTATCTCTTTTTATGGTTTTTAGTTTAAAGTCTATTTTGTCAGATATAAGAGTAGCTACTCCAGCTCGTTTTTCATTTCTGTTTGAATGGTAAATCTTTTTCCATTCTTTCACCATTGGTCTATGTGAGTCTTTATAGGTGAGGTGGATCTCTTGAAGGCAGCATGTAGTTGGGTCCTCCTTTTTAATCCAGTCAGCCAGTCTGTGTCTTTTGATTTGGGAATTTAATCCTTTTACATTAAGAGTTGTTATTGAAAGGTGTTGATTTACTCCTAGCATTTTATTGGTTTTTGTTTGGATGTCTTAAGTGTCTTTTGTTCCTTTCTTTCTGATTTATTGTTTGTCTTCTGTATTTGTTGGTATCTTGGGTTATAGATACTTTTTTTTTCTCTTCATTGTTGGCATTTTTATTTTACTAGTGGGTTTTGATTTTTCTTGAGTTTTTATGGCAGTGGTAGTTATTTTTCAGGTACCAAACCCAGAGCTCCCTTCAGAATTTCTTGTAAGGGTGGTTGTGCGGTAGTGAACTCCTGCAGTTTTTGTCTGAGAAATATACTATTTGCCCTTCATTTTGGAGGGATAGCCTTGTGGGGTAGAGTATTCTTGGCTGGCAATCTCTGTCTTTTAGTATTTTGAATATATCATCCCATTCTTTTCTAGCTTTTAGGGTGTCTGATGTTAGTCTGATTGGGGCTCCCTTATAGGTGATTTGATGCTTCTCTCTTGCAGCTTTTAAGATTCTCTCTTTGTCTTTGAGTCTTGCCAATTTGACTATAACATGTCTTGGAGAAGACCTTTTTGGGTTGAATACAGTTGGGGATCTTTGAGCTTCCTGAATCTGAAGATCTGTGTCTTTTCCTATGCCTGGGAATTTTTTTGCCACTATTTTGTTGAATATGTTTTCAATGCAATCTCCTTTTTCCTCCCCTTCTGGAATACCCATGACTCAGATATCTGAGCTCTTAAGGTTGTCTGATGGCACGGTCCATGCCATGGTAGGATCTTATAGGAGTCAGCTTGGGCTGCCCTTTCTGAATTGGCAAGGCCACTGGAGAGAGAGCTGCTGGCAAGGCCGCAGCTACGAGCACTTGCTACAACCATAAGGGTTCCTGCCTCGGCTTCGTGGCTTTTGCCTTCTCTTTCGATATTTTGGTTAGCGTGGCAGTTCTCTGAATTCCCAAAAGATTATAAAAATAACACAAATAATTATGCGGTCATTGAACTAAACATTCCCACAGAGGATCCGAGTAAATTGGACAATTCAAAATTATCCCCTTATGATAAATTGACCACACCAACATATGTTCCAAAAGCACCGCTCATGACTAAATATGAGCTGCAGCCTAATGTAAGTTGGCAAACATCATTTACTGGAG